CCAGCACATTGCCACTGGAGGGCTTATCCATGGGGTGATGGACCTGCCTGGCCCAGCTGCTCTGCACCCCTCAGAGAGGAGCTGAGTGCTGAAGTAGCTGTGGGAAAGCCTCCGCCACCCGTCCCCAAGCTAAAAATACGCCCGGCTGTGTGTGCAGGGAGATATTTATAATGTAGGAGCCCTGGCAGGCTGGCTTGGCCAGGGAGAAATTCCCCATCCCTTGTGCTGGGGGTATCCGTGCGGCTGCAGCGGGGTCCCGGTGCTGCTGAGGGGCACCATGGGGAAGGTTCTGGCAAAGCAGGGTCCAGACCTGGGCTTCCCTGTGGAACAGGATGGGGAGAAACCAGTGAGGACCCAGGGGATGCTGCTGCCCAGCAGCTAGTGGATGCAGCCAAAGAGGGGGATATTGTAGAGCTGGGCCCTACCAAGCAGCACCAGGGCAGGGTCAAGGAGGATGGAGTCAAACCCTGTGTCATCCTGCCAGATGGTGGAACAAGAGATGGTGGCACAAATCACACGGGGATTTCCAGTGGCTCTGAGGACACTGCAGCCCTGGGATGGGGCTCCAAGCAGTGGAGCATCTCCATTCCTGGGGACAGCAGGGCATAGTCATGGCCATCCCCAGTCCCTGCAGAGATGGCCCTATTCCAGCAGGGACAAGGAACTCTGGTGCTGGCCATGGGGCCAGACTCACCCTCAAAGGGCTGGTGCTGCTGCAGGACTCCATCATGGGGGGAGCCTTGTATGGGGGGCTGTTCCCTCTCCCCAAACTGGGGCACAGCAGTGGCTCCCGCACTGGCAGGGCTGGCAGCTCTAGTGTTAAGCTGCAGAGTTTGGCTTAAAGTGTGATTAAGGCTGAATTGCTGCCTCCATCCCACTAATCCTGGCCTCACGTACACTGGGTAATCCCAGGAGATGGGCCCAGCAGCAGCAGGCTGCAGGAAAAGCCAGGCTGGTGCTCTGGGGAGACCCATCATCAGGGCACTTCCGCCGGCTCCACAGCTGGGGCCAAGGGCAGGTGGTTGTGGCCCCAGGGGCTGTGGTGCCTGACCCGTGGTCTCCCTTGCTCCCAGCAGCAGAATCCGACGCCAGCGTCTTCGCCTCCAACTCCTTGCAGCGGAAGAAGAAGGGGCTGCTGCGCCCTGCGCACTACCGGGCCAAGCCGCACCTCCTCATCGGGCTGCCCCAGGACTTCCGCCAGATCTCCTCCATCATCGCCGTGGACATC